GCATTCCTCAAAGCTTTGTAATCACTAAACCTGACACGATCGAATTTCTAGTGTTTTCATAAAATTAGTTATGGAGGTGGTAATAAATATAAAAAAAAACATTTCTGCCATGACTAATAAAAAAAACCCACAAAAAAGAATTTCGATCATCTGTGAATAGTTTCTGAAATTTTCATTAACATCTGGCAATTATTTTTTTAATTAATGTGTTATACCAAAAAAAAAAAAAAAACGTGCTAAAAATTATTTTACTAGTTCTGCTGATACAAAGAGAAACAAGTTTTTTTTTTAATCAAAACTTAGAATGTTCTAAAGAAGGAAAAATTTTAAAAAAGATAATTAAAATAAACTTTGATCTTTCCTCTTAATAATAACACAAGCATTTAGACGATAAAATTTTTTTCATCAAGTTTGGCATTTTTTCATCATGCTATGCTCTTTTTTTTTTTTAGCAATCTCATGGTGGTATGTACATGTAGTTTCCATATGTACATGTAAAGCGGTAGTATATGGATGGTGTATATATGAAACTAAAAAGTATTTAATAAAAATATAAAGTAGATGTATGTATGTGTACATATATGCGCCTGTAGATATTAATGTATATATGAATGGGAGGTACCTGTATGGATAAGTAAAAGTTGATATGGTTAGAAGTCCATATTTTATGTATAGACGGTGTACATTTGTATGTATGGGAATATGCAATAATATATAATACGAACTTGAATTATTTTTAACCATGTAAGTTATGAATTTATTATGATGCATATTGTTTACTTTAGACATTTACTGTTCTACTTCAATTTAATATTTGTGATCTAACCAATTCCATTGGTTAAAAAAGATTCCAATACATTTCCAACATAATAGTACTGCAACCAACAAAATCTGTAAACTGATTGATCAATTAATGCCAATATCATGCTTTTGTCTATGTTTGCTGCATGGTTAGAATTAATTTACTGCCAAAAATTTGTATGTTTCAAGCCGATCACGTGATGTGATATTTTCAAATCTTTCTCTTTTTGCCTTCTCTCACATACAAGATGTAGCTGTGGAGGTACTGTGTTTGTCCCAATAGGAAAAAAATGCTTTGAGATGCTATGACACAAGCTCATACACATGCGTATGAACATGAACTCATTTTATTCACTCCTTCAACTACAAGCCACAGAAACTTAACTTCTAACAGTGAGATTTTCTTCAGCAACAAACATGCTGTCCAAGTGAATACAATTTTTACTTGTCAATATTCACCATTTACACCACATCTTCTGGAGCTAAAAATTCTTATCAACATAATCTCAGCTTTTCAGAAATCTCTCATGTTAATCTCTTTGGTGAACAATTTAAGTTATTTCAACTTATGCTGAATTTTATTCAGAAGTTTAAAAACTACATTTTTAGTACCAAACACAATTTCCTTTCACTAAACAACTTTCATTGAACTCTTCTATGAACTTTCCAGTCTATAACAGTTAAAGGTGAATAACTCCTGCTATTAATTACAACTCTTACTATATAAAAGTTACACACATGATTGTTTTGTATGTCATACAGTAAAATGAAGATTTTTTTTTTATTATAAAAACAGTTTTTGTGTTTCTCTTGTTTGCTGACACATTTGTAAAGTAAAAAAAATATATGGAGTGAATTGAGGCTGTTCAAACTGCTACAGACTCCTGGTTCTCTAAGACTGTCAATGTTATAATGCAGACATCATAAATGGAAAGTGGTTAAAATATACCTTTTTAACCAAATTAGATACATGTCAATCTAGATAAACAGATCTCATAGATATAATTTTGTAATTAAGAGATATACATGAGTAATTCTGATCCCATTATTTTACTATGGTTTAATGTACTTTCATATCGTTAAATATTAATAAATACACCTCAAATAAGGAAGCTTAGAACTTTAGATTAATTCTGTTAATGGACACTAGAGAATTAACTCTGAACCCCTTAATTTCATTTGGTTTAAATTGCCTTCCCATCACATAAAAACCTTAAATACATCCAGTTTAAGGTATTTTAAGACTAGTGCTAAAATATATTTATAAATAAAATAAACTATTCTCTCTGAACAAATAATTAATAAATCCAAATGTCTTGGGTAATTAAATTTAATTTTCTTGTGTAATCATAATAAGAATTTAAACTCTAAATCTTTTGATAAATTCAGAATATTACTTAAAATGTCCTGAACCAGACATTTTGGAATTTTCTTAATATAAATGGTTTGTTAAATAAAATCTTGACTGGTACAGGCCAGAAAATATACTTCTTCCTTTCTCCTTTAATCTAACATTTCCTCCCCAACTTATGTAGAAATTTAAGTCTGACATCAGTTTGTTAAAGTGGGTCACCCCAAGCCTTACAGCCGGTGTGAAAACCCTAGAAACTTAACCTTATTTACTACCCCCTTCCCCCCAATCCTCACCTGTCCATAAAGTGACAGGTCACTCACCTAACGAAGAGATAACAAAATAGAACCTGGAATAGACTTCTGTTATTATTTTATTTTTGGTCTGGAGGTCTGATGAGGCTAACTATTGTAGCCTCATGAAATAAAAATTACTTATGGAATTTTAAATGTCTGATATTCATTTTTATATATATATATATATATATATATATATATATATATATATATATACACATCTACTCTATTTTGAACATGGCAACTTTCTTAAATTAACCACAGCTTATTTCTTTCATGCAAGAAAGTACCTGTAACGTGGAGATTATAGTGACAAATATTTATACAACATGAACACTTCCTGAAATTCACTGCAATAATTCAGTGTGCTTCAGTCAAGTTTTTAAATCGGTTTTCCTTCTCTTAGACTGGTTGCCAACCAAGGCTGAAGAGCCTATCTACTATATAACCGGTTCCATAGTGGTAAAAGATGGATCCTTACATTCATTACTGAACAACTACCCTTGAGAAAGGTATGTGGCAGATGCGTGTCAGATGCAAGAAGTCTGGAGTCATGTGCAGAGATGTTTGTCAAAATGAGTTACATCCAGGTTTTCCCCATTAGCGGCAGAACAGCTTGGTATACTCAGTTCTTTGTCAACTGTTTTGTGTCAATAAATGTGATGGCAAAACCCAGAAGTAGGCAAGATTTTGTGCCTTGTGAAGACTTTTCTCTTGGCCCATTTTGTTCCAAAAATTACATACCACCTGCTGTGCTCTGGTTTCTGAGGCAGGATTATTTTGTTTCCTCCCATCTCTTTTTTTTTTTTTTCTTCTGCCTATTAACCAATTGTTCTCCCCAGAACTATGGGTAAGTGTCCCCCACAACCTCAACACACTCTTGTCCTCAACTAATTTTGTGTTCTGACTCACTACCCATTACAACACTCACATATTCACGCCGCTCACTCACATATTCCGTGGCGAAACTCAACTGAGTTCTCTGTAACCATAGGACTATGCCCCCTGGAGCCACGACTACTCTCACCAAGCCGCTACCAACTGGAGCATAATTAGCAAACAGTGCTAAGTTGAGTCTGATTTGGAATCTCTTCGTCACCGAGGCCCATTTGGAACAGTTGGTATGATGTTCGCTTGACAACCTAACTGTCGGGGTTTAAATTCTCGGTAGTGGATGCGCACTGCTGATGAGTCCCAAATATAGGATGAAACGGCCGTCCAGTGCTTTCTGCATTCTGTTGAGGTTTCTATCAGACTCTATGAATTAATTAAATATAATTATCAAATCCTCCTACTAATTTCTCTCTCTCTCTCTATATATATATATATATATATATATATATATATATATATATATATATATATATATATATATATATTTAATCTCTGGCTATTTCATAGAGTAGTAAGTAGAAAACTATCTTATAAAAAATATTAAAGAGCAGAGATAAGTACCATGCTTTTGTGAATGAAATGTTTTAGTCATTTATGAAAGGCTAATTTGTGAGGTATATTTTTATTTCATGGATTAAACAGCATCTTCAGTTTAATTGCCAAGGTCTTAATTGGTTGAATAATTTTTTTTTTTTTTTTTTATTTTTTTTTTTAGCATTTTACCCCAACCAAGGTGGGAATGCCACTAGCACACAAGATCAAGGCATCAGATGTCGATTGACATTTGAATATTTGAAGATTATGGTTATCAGGGAAGCAAATAAGAGGGAGTTCTACTGTTGAAGTAGAAGAGGCAGTTACATTTAACCGATATGCCAACCTAGTACCACACTTAAATTCATGCAGTTGTGGCACCAGAGAAAATAGCTTGTCAGAGCAGTTGCCATGAAAACAAAAACATGAAAAATGATAAACTGTAAAAAATGATTTTAATTACATTATAAACAGGGTCAGGAAGTCCATACACTTTTCTCTACCTGTTAATCTAGTTAGTTTACACAAATTACATCTCTTACTGACTTGTGAGAAGTTAATGTAAATTTTTACCCACAAATCCTAATCCTGTTTGTGAAACCTTTTATACTTATCACAAAATACTTTAAAATCAAATGTCTGCATAAGTTTCTATAATATTAATACTCAAACCATTCTAGTAATTTAAATTTTTTTTTTTTTTTTTTTTTTCAATCTTTAGCATGTTAAAGTATGAAAAAGAAAATATAGGTCCAAATTAAACTTAAATTTAGAAAAAAATCATAAATATATCTCAATATAAAAAGTTCCCTTTTTACATTTTTCTTCTTTTTTTTTTTTTTCATAAACCGCTTATATTTTATTAAAAAAAACAAATTTGACTGTTATGGTAGCCTCATGCAATCTTTAGGATTCTATGTACATGAATATAAAAATGCAAGAAAGTGGGAAGGCACTATAAAATATTACCAATTCCACAATATGAAGTGGGAGAAGAGACTATTATGGAATACTACATTGGCAACATTAGTCATTTACACACACATATATATAATGTATGTAATTTTTTTTTTTTTTTTTTTTGTATGCATGTATTTTACTTTAAAAAGTATCCATTTGTGCTGTTAAGAAGGATGATGGTGATGATAATGTTTACGGCAAGTTTCACAGCATCTCTGTTTGTAGTAAGGGTATGGACAGAGGCGAGCTTGAACCACCATTTTACACTGCTTCATATGATCACGACACATTGGGTCTGTAAGAGAAATTACATCAGATAATAGGTAAATGTATAGGACACTAAAGGTAATTTTAACTTTATCATTTATACATTGTGTGACTTAAATCCTTAAAAAGACATTGTTACATCAGTCGGAAAGGAAGCAGATGGATTCTGTAATTTTTTTTCTATTGTATATCCATATTATACATGTAAACAAACTTCAATAAAACTTGCTCAGAAAATACTCTTGGACAGAATTAAGATAAGACAGCTATCGTAATAAATTTTTGTCTTTAGACAATAGCTTAAAATGTTTTACTGATGTTACAAAATTATTAGGGCATTAGAAATGGATGTATTAAAATTAATTTAATAAGGAAATGAAGAACAAGAAAAATTCTACCATAAAATGAGAAGAGCTAGCCAGTTATTGTTCGTCTCTTTTCAGACCTCAATCAAGGAATAAAAAGGAGCATACACTACAGGAAAATATATATTTTTCAAAGATAAAAACATTTAAGTTAGGGAGGACTGTAGGGATATATAATTTCATTTATAGAAACAGTGAATATGCCTTACTAAAGAGAAAATATTTTTTTTATAAGACAAACCCTTCTTAGAATTACTTAAGTGTTCTGGATGTATTGAAATACTTATGCAAATAATTACTTTGGCCAATGCATGCTGACTTATTCTTACTTCCAACCTTTGACTTTTCATTTTTCCTTTTTAGGACCAATGTATTATATAGCTGGCCACTTGTATTCAAGGATACTTGTCTACTAGGCCCTGTTGCAGACGCTTTCTCAGGCGCATTTGTTTATTCAACACCCACAGAGCCCACCTGTGGTTTATACTGCAACTATGCTGAGCAGACATTAGAGCTTCTGGGAAAGTGTTATCTAGTGTGATCAACAATTTGAACAAGGCCAACACACTCAAGCCCTCAGCCATGATGACTTGTGATTTTGTGCTAGCACAGCTATCAATGGGCCCAAGGGTTCCATCTACCCAATTTAATTCACAAAGCTTGGATCAACCTGTGGTATGTTTTTCAGGCACTTTCCAATGGTGCCGCATGCTGGGATTGACCCCCTCCAGTCCAATAACATCAGAAAGTCACCTTTCTGAAAAATCGACCATGGTGAGATTTGAACCTGGGTCTCATGGCCAGAATGTGAACATTCAAATCACTTGGCCATGTGCCCAAGGTATTAGTAATAAACTAATTGTACATATTTCAGGCTTGGAGAACCAAGTTTGTTAGATTCACTTATGCACAAATATTCTTGGGGAAAAGTATGAATCCGTCTCTTCTAAACCCCCCCCCCCCAAAGCTATGGTTTGAAGGACAAACAGGATCTTTAGCCTTGGTTGACAACCAGTCTACTACAGAAAGAAATGACAACCTATTGTTAGAAGGGGAATCTGCCTCGTCAGTCATGTATTGAAAATACATGATTGCCCAAGCATGTATCATGTATAGCACTTAAGTGAATGACTGATTAATCCCTGAAGTTTTAATAGGGAAAATTTTCCTCCAAATAGTTTGTAATATCCAAAAACATCATATATATATATATATATATATATATATATATATATATATGGAAGTGTTCAGAGATTTTAGTTTTTATGCATGATTGCTGTTATGATTATCAATTTATTTTTTTTGGTTTTAGGAATAGTTTTGATTAAAAAGTATAGTTTCTTTTTTAAAGATGAAGAAAACATTTATATGAATATTGTCATTAAGATATTTACTTTCATACTGTCATATTTATACTCCATGACAACTGGGAGAGAAATATAAAAAATTTATCCTCCTCACCTGTATTTAATGGAATCTGTAAGCATGAATTTGTATTACAGCTTTGCCTGGTGACTGGTCGCTCACTGATATCACACAAAATACTTTGCTTTAAGTTAGCATCAACACATTTTGTTTCCCGAGACTTGGAGCCAGTGCCACAGCTTGCAGAACACTGAAAATAGAAAATATATTTTAAGAGATTAGATCTAAGAGTTCTGGAGGTAAAATTGCTATTTTACATTGAGGACAATCTGCTTTGTGATTTGTATGTGCTATGCAGTTTTTAAAAAATCATTAAATTTGGAGATCTATTGTCTTACAGTGTGTGTGTGGGGGGTGTCACTAGTTTTGAGCTGATTTGATGACATTTGCTTATCCATTGATCAATTTCTTTTCCTAATTCTCTGTGCAATGAAGTGAGGGGGAGGCTTAATAAAGGTGTTTGGTCAGAAAATGTTAATCTTAGAAAAATTTCCTTAAAATCACAAATCCAGTTTTATTTTTACTTTTTATTTCCAAGAAGATTTACACTAATTCTGAACTTATAAAAATGTTGAAGCATCTTCACTTTGCTTAGCCAATGAATTGCATAAGTTCTAGATCACCATAATCAAATGGTTATGCTTGAGATTTTATAAAATTATTACAAGTGTTGTTTAAAGCATAACTTCTTTTTTTTTTATGATTGGCGCATAAATTCTATTGATGTATTATGCAATAAAATAGTGCAAAGTTGCCTGTTAAACTAACTCTGATTTAAATTTAACAAGAAAGATTATTTTGGGTGAAACCATTGCGGAGGCCCTGGCTAGTGATCAGCCCTTTTTAAGGGGAGATAATCTTTATAGATGTTGCTTTCGGTATTGAGATCTTTGACTGTACGAATAAATAAATAGATAAAAAATTCTTCAGTAATATTACCAATTTTATTAATGCCATGTATAAAAATTGCAAGTAGATATGAATCTGATACATTAGTATATTTTAGTAGCTATCGGCAAGAGTAAGATAGTGGATGACATTTCTTGAATTTCTTTCATTTGAAAACGTTCATCTTAAGACAAGAAACAAACAAGGGAAATTACTCTAACATTAAATAGTTATTCCCCTTTGATACCAGTTACATCAAACTTTAATCAATGGAGAATGGAACAGAAAAATAAAAATTTAATAAACTATTATCCAGGTATAGTGAACTAGAATATTTATTTTTCATTTTTATTAGTCTGCCTTGTGGCTGACATATCATTGATACTATGATTTAGTGTTTTGATCCTGGTAAGTCAATATTTTGAATGCTGATTCTCTAGCCAGGATAGATCTCATTTGTGTAAGGGGAAACGTCATAAGCCAAAATTTCTCACTCAACCAGGTATTGGTGAAAGTTGTCAATGGGACAAGAAAATAACAAATGAGACAAATTTAGTCTCCCTTAAAAAGAAAAATGAATACTTAAAAATAAACAGCAGTTAGTGATTTTTTTTTTTTACTTGTTTTGTTCACAAGACAAAATAGATCATAAACTATTTGTCTTAACACAGTTCCAAGAAAGGAAATTGTTTGTAAGCAAAAAAAAGTAGTACTGCAACCAGAAATTATTTTTTATTTATTTTTTTTTTCTCCACATCACTGTAGATAAAGCATTCCAGATCACGAATATCTAGAAAATAAATTTTATAAAAATACAAGTTTGCTATGTAAATTTATCCCCCCTTTGGAAGCCAAAACCAATATTTTAATACCAGGGGATTTCTTAAAATTGTTTTTATTCATTCACTATCTGGTGTACATTTACATAATGATAGTAATAAAGGAAAAAAAGAACTTCAGATTAGGAATTAAAAAAAAAAAAGTGTGATTTTCAGAAATCACACATGAGCAATGTCAATCCCTTTTGCTACTGTCCTGATTACTCTTTTTTGGTTCTTACTCCTTGACAATTTTTCTGTTTTCTAATTCTTCCATACCCAGTAACCTCTAGTCTTAGTGGCTTTATTGCTTTGCTTGAGGTGGAATATATATCTCTCTCTCTCTCTATATATATATATATATATATATATATATATATATATATATATATATAAACTTCAATGAAGAAATAAATTGAATAACATATAATTCTTCTTTTCTCCTCAGTAATTTTATAGTTGTAAACTTAATAGCGATTAGATTTTGAAATTAGCAGTTTTTAATTTTAATATCAAATTTTATCATATAATTTAGTAATTATTGGTTAGAATAAATTCTTTTTTAATACTACCCATATTTTAAACATCTGAATAGCTATTATAACATGACTTCGTTGTCAAGCTTTTAGAATTTTCCTATACTTGTATTTTGATTGGTCCATCTAGCTTTTGTAATAACGTTTTCCCCTTGTGAAGGATTGTTAATTAATTTGAAACTTTTAAAACCATTTATTTTACATTCAACATCATCACTTGATAAGACACTGAGGGTGTTGAAACAAAATGGCTATTTTTGTAGTGATTTTATAACGTATTTATGTTATAAATTTTTTTTTTTTTAAATAAATAATTTTATATATATATATATATATATATATATATATATATAAAATATTAACTGATCATATAAATAAAATTATATCCTAAAAAATTTAACATTTTCTAAAATTTGGAATTAGTCAACCATTTGATAAGCATAATAAAATCTGAATGTAAAACTTAGCAACTGAAAAATATAGAAGCAAGAAAATAACATTAATAATCACTTTGAGTAGAAAGCAAATTGGCTTGAAAATTCTTACCTCTGTCCATTGTGAGGTGTACCATTCAGGAGGACAATCTGGGAGTGTCTCACACAGTTCTTCAGTTGCTGGCTTTTCCTCTTTTAGGCAATTTGATTCTTCCGCAACAGTAAAAGAATTCCGGTTTAATTTGTTGACACATGTTACATCACGTACTTTTACTCCCTGTCCACATGTTGCTGTACACTGAAAATATAAATAAAAACTCATCAAATTAGCTTATGTGATGGTGTGGATAAACAATGGACTATTATAATAGTAAACAAAACTCAATTAGAAGTTTTTAAATTCAGTAGAAAATTTAATATTTTAGTTTTATTAAATTACATAAAAGTATTGGTTTAGTTGACTGACAAAGAAATTTTACAGTAATTTTTTTTTTCATATTGCCAAACGGATCATATACAAAGCTTAATATAACTGAGGAAGAGAATTTTGTAAACTTATGTTAGGGCTGAGGACCAACAATTTAACAGCAGTTGATAATCCATTTAATTTGGACAAAATAAACAAAAAAGGTGATGCTGTATATATCTATATAAATATTGACATATTCCCTCTCCTCCAGAATGAGTTTTAAAAACCTTTTTGATTTAAGCTTAAACAGAATTTTTTGCTGCTACTTTTTTATGTTAATTGAAACAATATCAAAGACAAAAAATCTTTTGGGGGGGGCAATGCTTAGCATATACAGCTAGTTAGTCAATTTATGAGCACACTTGTCATTAGGCACCTGAACATTTTGACAGATTTAAACTAAGTAACTGTAGTGATGTATTTTCCACTAGTATTTCCACTTGCTTTCCAGTTCAAATTTAAAAAAAAAAATACAAGCTAAGATTTTCAATAATTTTTCAAAAGTTTAAGGATACAGAAGGTGCTTATCTCCCTTTGGTGGTGATAAGTCATGTGGGTCACATGATGGCCATTTTATGCCACTGCATACAGTGACCAAAGCAGCAGTTTATGGACAGCAACCTTTTAACCTGGGCCAAAGGGCCCAGGCTGAGGCTAAATCTGCTCCCCCACCAGCTTCCAAGCACATGGTGCTTGTTTCCCTTTGTAATATAGTTAAATCTAGCCCATTTGAATTTGGAGTTTTAAAAATGGCTTCTCCAGGTCAGGAGTATCTCCAAATTATATGCAAGACATTTCCTTTTTGTTCCTCTTTATAATTTGCAGATATGATACACATGGAGATGTCTCTCATCTATATATATTTTTTTCTCTCCAGAATCCATCTTGCATAACTATAAGTCTACAATTCATGCTTACAATATTGCTGCCATATATGGTCCAGTGTCCTTGCTACTTACCTGGAGCTTCTTGATAAGATCCAGAGAATATTATTGGTCCTGATCTGATAGCTTGGATTTTGTCACTTGCTCACCATTTGTGCCCCCCCCCTTTTTAAAAATATTTTAAATACTTTCATGGTAATTGTTTGGATGAACTCTTTGTTATGGTACCTAGACTGTGTAAATTTAAGCACAATACTAGACTGGCAGTGAGATCTCATCAATTTACAGTTGAGCTAGCAAGATGTAACTAACTTTTACATTACGTTTCATTTTTGCACTTCCTGCTTGTGGAACTCCCTTCTGGCTCCATGCTTTCCACCCAACTTTAATCTGCAAGAATTTAAATGCAAAGCCAATTGCTATCTACTGTACTCTTGAATTATCTTTTTCTCTTTCTTATCATTATTGTTTTTCTATTAATTCCTCCACACCCTGTAACTCCTTGCTTGGGGTGATAACTTTTTTTTATTTTAAATAAAAAAAAAAAACAAAGAATAAGTGAAAGACAAGTTGACAAGTGACTGATAATTTACAGCTTATAATTTGAAGTGTGGTACCTCCACCCAAATCAGGTGGGGGAATACAGTTTAGAAAGAAGATAACAAAATTTATGACAATGAAACCACCGACATAAACTAATCACACCCAACTTACTACTCATTTAAGAAAAATTTAGATTTGAACTTTTTACTGAATACAATGAAAAATATTTTGAATTCAACTGTTGCAAATATTTCAGGGCACACCTTCTGTTCATAGTTTCATTTGTTGACGCTAATGATGTCTACACAAGTTTAGAATCAGACATTTAAAATGCTGATATTTTTATTTTTTAATGAATTTTTTTATTACTAAAATCAAATTTAGAACCAACTTACAAATGTCTGAAAAGTTTTAAAATCAAATTTAGAACCAACTTACAAATGTCTGAAAAGTTTTGCTGTCAAAGCATTTTACTGTGGTCTCTTTAAGTGATTAATAGTTGATGACAAGACTTTGTTATTTAAGTGACCAAAAATCATTTTTTTTCCAAATCTTTTCATATCAATATAGATTAAGCACTCCAGATCAGGAATATCTATAAAAATAAAAAAATTAAGTTGTATAAAAATCAATAGGAGGTCAACTTTGCTATGAAAATTCATTGTAAACCAGTGCCATGTGTAAGCCAAAACAAATATGCTCATGTTTTCTTAAAATGTAAAAAAATGATTTTTTCTTAAATTACTGTGTGTAACTGATAATATAGAAAAAAAAAAAAATCAAAAACCTCCAAAATAAAATTTTTATGTTTTGGCAATGAAATTGCATAATCAACTGGAGTCTATTTTCTTTTTATAAATTAAAAAAAAAATGAATATTTTTGATCAGGAGTGCTTAATTTATAGTAATATGAAAAATAGATTGGAAAAAAAATGATTCACTATTGTAGAACTCTCCAAAATCTCTTTGTTTTATGATTGACAGAAATTGTCTTGTTTGTGGGTTATAGAATTTCAACAGCAGCAATAACTAAAATGGATAGCACATGTAACTCTAAGAGAAATTAACACAATCAGGATGTTGATGTTCCACACTATTTCAAACAAATGTTTAAGAAGGAAGCTCCCCCTGCCCCCATCAATACTGGAAAGACCAATAACATGACTTGAGACACTATTATCCTGAGAGATTTCCTAAATTTCAAGTAGCACTGGCTGTTTGGTCAAGGAATGCCAAATATTTCCTTATAAGGAAATGGTTAGTACTATCATTCCCTTGAATGAATCTTTATATGATATTGGGAAATAATTTCAAGATCATTTTTAATTATTCACTTTTTATTATCAAATACTTCAGCATTGTTATTGAAATAAAAATAAAAACAACAAAGAAAAGAAAATACCTCTGACCATGGTCCAGTGAACCATAATCCTCCACATGGACGCTCACTCTTGCAAGTTTTCTCTGACTTTGGTTTGGTGTTTTGTTTACACTTATTGTCTGGTAGGCTTTCACCATTGTCTGCAGAGCAATGGACTTTTCGGTGGAGTAACCCATGTCCACAAGAAGCAGAACACTGAAATAAGAATGTGGGGGAGGAAAAAAATAATGAGAAATTGATTATATTTTCTCCTTATTCTTGTGATTCAAGCTTTTATCATATTTGTGATAGTTCCTCATAGGGAAATAAAGTTTGACAAAATAAAACTAAGCACACATTATGTATTGGTGTGGGTATTTATCTGCACACTCATATCATTACAGAATGTGACAGAATTGAAGTTTAATGCAGAAAGCTGTTTGCAAATTGCTCAAGCACTACCCCTTTTAGGGGACACCTTGAGTACTGGATAATGATCCCAACCCCCTCTCAAAGGAGAAGTACTAATCTTGCTGGTGTTGGAAGTATTGGTGTATAAAAACTTAAGCAATTTGTTGCTTATCAACTAAAACCAATGTTGCATAAATAAAAGATCCAGAATCCAGGAGATTTTTCTGTGAATGAGGTTATTGTTTATTTCCTATTCTAGCAATGCTGATTTTTCAAGGCAAGTAAACTCATTAGAATAGATTGGCACAACAAAATCTAAGTTAGCCATGTGTCATAGTAAACTAAATTGGTAAATATGTGGTGTTCCCAAATGTGAAAATGTTAAAAAAAAAAAAAAAAAAATACAAATAAGGTATTTGCTTTCCTCTAAAACCATTTTTTTCTCTCCCCCTTCTCTCTCTCTCTCCTAATTGAAACATCAGTTCCCATATGATCACTGAAATTAAGCAATGTTGAACCTAGTCAGTACCTAGATGTGTGACTACTTGGAATACAAGGTGACGTAAAGTTAGGTGTGTTGGTGGTGTAATGCTTGATGTGGTCAAGCAGTGACCACTAAATCTGGATAGAAAAATCCATGACTCCTATACATTTATATAATTAGATTCTTTCCCTCATTCTCGCCTGTATCTGTCCACATAACTACCATAAACTCTTTAACAAATAAGAATAAATAAACTATATTAGTATTTCCAAAGTAGATTTTTAAAGTGAACTAATGAAAATTGATTGATTTAATGGCATATCAACTCCTTATGGGTTATTTAGTGACAAAATTTAATTTTTCTGGGAGCATTGAAGTCATAATGTTATTCTGCTTTCACAATTGAATAAATGGTAAATTACTTGGTTTTTGTGCAAACATAATTACTATAAGTACTGATGTGTGTTTTGTAGTTATATTTGGGAATACAGTTTGATTGATTTAAGAAATTGTAGGATGTTATTTGGACTAATATGAAAGAGTTCATGTTGGTTGATTTTGTTTGGCAACATCTCAACCTCTATGGGTCATTTAATGCCGAAATCTAAATATTTTTGTACATGATTTAATACTCTTGGTTTTTTTTATATATATATATATATATATATATATATATATATATAGTGAACATTGAAGTCAACACTCAGAGGCCTGTCACCTCTGAGTGTTGACTTCAATGTTCACTCTTTTACATTTATATATGTTCTATCTCTGATATTGAGCACTTTATCCCATAAATATTTCTTTATATATATTAATTTTGTAGATCTATAAAAATGTACTGTTGATTTTTGTTTGGGGTTTACTATTTGCCCATAACAGAAACCCTAACAGGTGCTACCACCCTAAGTCGGGCTGGACCCGATAACAGCAATTAAGAGGTGGTTCTATGTTCCTCAATCTCCTGATCAGTCCTTGCTGTTGGATGTAGTTTATCGTCATACCCAGGACTATAACTGAAGAAAAAACAAAACAAAATAAGATTCAATATTTATAAACTGTTGGGAAGAGACATTTTTAACTAAATTTCTTGTAATTTTATTAACATGTATTTCTTGACTTGACATCTACCACAAAAGACACAAATACATTTATTGCCTTACCTCTTTTGACCACTCTGTGAAGAACCAAGCTTTTGCACAAGAACCCATATCACAAACATCTGAGGTGGTTGGCTTGGGTTCAGTACATTTGCGGTCTGTCAAGACCTTGTCATCAGCACCCACACATCTTACTTCTCTTTTGCGGTGACCAAGGCCACATTCTACAGAACACTAGAGTAAAGAGAATTTTATAAATATAAAATTATTCATAAGTTTATAACAAAGTTGAATGATGTCTGTTGATGTGATAGCAACAAATCACTAAATGACCTTTAACCCTGAGTACTAGACTGTGTAGGCGTTTGAAATGAAAATAATGAATAAAACAATTAAAATTAATAAAATTACTATAAAATATAGATAAAAATGATAGATAACAATAAGGAAAGTGAGATTATAAATAGTCAAATAAATATAAAAATTCCATCACACACTGGAACAGGTGTTTTTGCTGCCACTTGAAACAAATTTCACCTTCAATGAAAAAAGCAGTTGTCCTGCAACAGCACTCTGATAGACCATGTACTATCAAACAGATAAACAAAATTGTTTTTTTTTAATCTCTGTATACATATATGTAATTTGAAATATATACAATTTTCTTTCTGAAATGTATACAAAAGACTTATTTTTGTTTAATAGAATATGTTCAAATAATGAATGTCTAATTTGTTCATTTTTACAAAAGCTTAATTTATATGGACTTTTTTTTTTTTTTTTTCAAACACTAAACATTTCTGTTAGCATTTACCATGGAAAGAATTATGAACTGAAAGTAGTTTCTCAATAGAGCAAGCTTGCCTAACATGATCATTATTATGATAGCAGATTTGATTCTTAAAGAGTGCTCTACGTGAACCATTGTAGCAGACAACACTAAATAAATATTGATACTAATTTGAATTTTATTTGCCTATAAGCAGTCCAGGGTTTGAAAGTTTAAAAATCTTTTTTCAAAATAAGTTTGATAAATTAGTTACATGTTATAATTGTTTATTTTGCTATGTAATAAAATTGTAAGATTTGAGGGCATCTCTGACAAAACCTGTATAGAAACTCCATTTAAGCAGTGATTTTATAACCACAAAACTTCCTTCAACTTGGAAAAATGTGAAAACAACACTGCTCTTCTTAAATATATATTGGAAAGAAAAGTATGTACACCCAGTTATTAAATGGGGCATAGTGAAAAGAATACTTGTGTGTTCCATTTTTGACAGGAAGAGAAACTGGCTATAGCCACTTTCCCTGGACAATGAAACCTGCCGAATAAAAGTGGGGGGAATTATGACTGTATAGATGTGAAAAAATGTTTGATACACATAGCAAGTGATTAATTATTTAAAAATGAGAGGATGTAAATTTAGCGTACTCCTGAATAAATTAATTCCTGTGATCTGGGATATAAGTGAGTTATACTCTTAAGGTAACAAAAAAAAAACTAACGGGGCAAAACTGCAGGATTTAACTATATGGTAAATGTTAGAGACCTTTCACATAATTGTTTATTTTGTTTTTAATTATTGCGTAGAAACAATGATCCTTCAAACAAATGTAATTTTGCATTGATTTTAAGTTGAAGCTGCTTTTTCTTTCTTTTCCCTTAAATGTAACAAACCATTTTAGCATAGAAATTAATATTACAGATTGGACAAAAGTTAATGATTTTGATGTACACTATCTTTTGTAAAAGCCACTATTACACTGAATCTCTTATAGCCATGGTTGTATTCAAACAAGCAGTTGTTACTTAATATAAATTTTGCCTGAACTTTTGTAGATACATCACTATTCTCAGTCTTAACTTTATTGTTCTTCAAATGTTTTAATACTAGAATTCAAATTAAAAATGTTTATATGAAGCACTTTATACATAAATATTTTTGTGGCCCTGTTTAAAAAAAGAAAAAAATATATATATATATATATATATATATATATATATAATTGTTCCTTATCTGAAGCAAACACTTTATTTTTGTCCATTTTAGAGCTTTAAACCATTTAAATACCTATTTTAATTAAATGTTAAACATTTCTGTACTTCAAGTGACATTTCAAATGATAGCAGTTGGAAATAGTGTTTATATTAAATCGTAATGTGATTAGATTTAGTTTACATTCTTAGAGTGTATAATTAACTTTTGTTTACCTATATCTCCTTGACTATATAATTCAGAGAGCTGTCAGAATAGTATTTAGTTTTTTTGGGTAATTTTTTTTTTTTTTTTTTTTTTTTTTGTTACATGTGTGTTTAGATTTCTCTTTCTTATTCTGAGAAGCCAACAAAAACTTTAATTACTAAATTTGCCTGGACCAGACTGTTGGATTACTGCCCCTGACTAAATCACAAATAGCGGAATTTTTTTAAAAATGTTTTTCCTCTTTTCCTTTTAACTTTGGGATTGACAACATATATTTTTTCTCACTCTCTCCCATAAAACACACATTTTATTCTCCTTCTCTCTCCTATAAAACATGGTATATAAGTACTTCAGAGACATCAACTGAAGATGCCGTTGAACTATTGATAACTTCAACATCAAAGTTCATTGTAAACACCTGTTTTAATATATTTGTTAATTAGTGAAACTGTAATTTCACCACATCCATTTTGTAGACGTAAATGTACATAATTAGGGTTAGCCTTAAGTAGCTCAGCCTCTTCTACCTTTTGGAACAACTCACATCTCCCGAAAACACTTTAGAGTTGAGACAACCATGAAGGGAGCAAATGTCCATCTGCTGTTCTCCACTGATGATGAAATGTTCTCATGTGAGGCTTCATTCATAGCTGTACACAGCATGCTCTGGACACAATGAAGAGCTTGGGATTACTGTGACACCCTCCCTCCCCTGAAGGCCTGGAGACCTCACAAATGCAGAGCCAGAGATATTGTTTGCCAAATTATCCTGTTGTAATGTCCTACAAGACTGTTTCCACATGGATTATAAATAGTTGAATGACTCTTAGCCATACTTTTCATGTTTTTTTTTTTTTTTTTTTAAAAAAAAAAAAAGGTATTTAGAAAGAAATGACTGGCCTCTGTTAGAATGAATATATGCTAGTATACCAAATAAGCAGAAAAAAATTTGCAAATGGTCAATAAATGTTGGAGAGTTCAATTCCTTGCAAAGAAAAGCAAACAGAAATCTGCTAAATTTGTCGATTTTTTTTTTTTTTTTTTTTTTTTTTTTATTCAAATTTAAAGGTCCCCTACCAACAATATTAAGTTTCTCAAAGGGCTGCGTAGCCTTTATTACATTACTTTCATCCTTGAAATAAAATTTGGGTTTATTTCAGAGCACACAGGACAGGTTTTTGTTATTCTTTTTTATGTCTTCCATTGAATAAGGAAGATTTTTACTTCATACAAAATGGGATATACCTGTTATTCCAGGGTGACACAAAGAATCCTGAATCTCTTCTAACTTGTTCACATAGTGTCTGACCTTGCCATAGCTTCCCTGGGTGGCACAGGGTTTTTTTTATGAACCCACAGAAGAAACAGCCCTTAGAATAGCCATGGTGGTTTGGTCAGAAGAGGTAGCGTTAGTGTATTAGAGGCAGCTGCATTAACGATGTAGTTGAACTTTGTATAAGTGTCAGACTCCTTTTTTAGCTACCTCCTGAGGGACATGCCTGTTCAGATGTTACCTCCAAGTCTAAGGTCTTGTTCTCCAATAGTTGTATCCCATTAATAAGTGTCTCTAAGGTCTTTATTTTTGCATTCCTCTGCACTATGAGACTAAAAATTTCAGTCCTGTCTCAAATGCTTTAGTCTTTTGAGGTACTGATCCAGGCTTTCATTTGGATCTTGTTTGCAGTTGAAGAGCAAATGTCATGCAATTGCTTTGTTCTTAGAATTAACATAAGCTTTCTGAGCATTTCCTCAGCTGTCTCATAAGAGGTTCATTCTTTTAACATGTTTGTAAATTGCCAGTGACAGAAAGTTAATAAGTATATGTAATCTGGTTGTACCTTCAGGGGCAATAGCACCAATAAAATTACTAAATGTTTGAAACTGATGGTGCATTAGTCTGCAGCATCACTCACATTAGGGTCCACCTTGAAATGACTGGATTTCAGATATGTTTCCATAGTTTATGTTGAATAAATTGTTATGAGCTAAGAAGAAAGCATTTAGCTTTATTCAACATAGAACATTGATAGGCTGTTAATGGAACTCTTCTATGATTAGACTACAGTTTTTATAGGTTGTGGTAGGAGTAGTATCAGGAAGTGGCGGTAAGAGTAGAATAGTAGTCAACATGATAGTAATGATGGAAGATTATTTAACATAAGTTAACTTTCATGCTAAGGTGGATACATTTTGTTGAGAATGAGGTGTATTAGTTTTTCCTTCAGAGATAATCAAACAAGAATGGCAAATGAAAGGAGTTCAAGTTTTATGTTGGTTGCTTCTGCTTAATTTTCAATCCCTTTAAGGCATGAATTTCTTTCCCTGTATACATATGAACTAATGTCCTTTTTACATTTCATCCATTGCACCTGCTGCTCTTTTTCAGGTGTCCATCAATTTAACTAACTTCCCTTTGGGAAATTTTAAATGTCTTTATTTAATCTAGTGGGTGGACTGTTCAATATTCTCTAAAGGTTACCCTTATCGACAGATACCCAAACAAGACGAGAGAGCACAACAGCCAAAATTTTGTCAATACTTTGCTTCATAATATACTGAAGGTGGTGAATATAAGAATCTACTCTCTGGTAGTGTGTACACACGCGCACACACACACACACACGTACACATATATAAATTTTCAGTGGCTGCTTAGTGTACAAAATGTATGCACACCTGCTATTAATTATTGTAATTCATATTGTGGGGTGGATAAAAACACCATACAAAATGATGAATAAACATTGACAGTTGACAAAACATATATTGAAATTGACTTTGAGTAAGTTTATTCAAACTTGTACCCAATAAAAAAAAATCATACAATGGGGTCATGCAAGGTTAGCATATCACACTTGGGCATTGTAGTTTTGAAAAAATATTATTTTGATTATTATTTTTTAAGAGAAAAATTAAAGAAGTCGGATAGCTTGTTTTAATTCAAGAAGTCTGTTAATTTGTTAATCTTGTGATTTTATTTTAAGTGCAGCATTTAAAGAAATAGAAATTGTAATTTTCTGGTTTTAAAGAAAATGTTTTTGTATCTTCAACCTTTTTATATAATAATTCTACATTATTTTGGATAATAAAGCTCTTTTATCTCCATAAGGTTATATGGATGCTAACATAAAAGAAAATTAAGTCATACATTTTCAAATTGTAAGTAAGTTTTTGTTTTGGCTCTTCCTTGCAAAGTTGATTAAGGAGGTTATATCTTTGTTACTATTTCCTGGAGAGGTAAAATACTTATGGGAGAGGAATTTAAAACATGAAGTCATTTTTCAACTGTTGTTAGTTTACCAGTAATAAGAATTTAATACTCCTCTCCATGCTGTTCCAAGCCATTACAGACAAAAATAAATCCATGTCAAGGGTTTGAAGAGACTACAAGAACTTGGTTCACTGATTGTATTTTCTATTCTGCTAACCATTATGAATATATTGTATGTATGCATCTACACCAGTGCAAAAAGGATTACCAGACCTTAAATGTGCTGTGACAATGGAATCTTTTAAGAGATGTATATAATCTATTTTAAAAGCAATGCAAGTAATTTCAAATTATTTGAGTAGTTTTTTAAAATTTGGTGCATAATATTTGTTGTCAGCAGACTTGAGAACATAATGAAAAACAGCATGCACCGGGGATAACATGTTTGATCTGTTACCCTCAAGGTAATATTTTAGATCCATTAGTTCTAGGAAAAAGCACTTAGGGACATCTTTTACCCTTGGGACCTGCATAAAATGAATGCTGTTGCATGCTGGCAATTTTAAATGTCATTACTTCATTGGTTGATGTGTGAATTTGTTTCATCTGTATTTTTATAATATATATATATATATATATATATATATATATATATATATATTTCTTTTGTGTTTGTATTGGTGCACCTGGGGACTCTTGTTCAATTTCATTGTGCATTACACAGTAATGTATGTACATGTGTGTCTGTATAGTTGATACAAATATTGTTTTAATGTATATAACTATCTCACCGATGTGATGTGGTTTCCTGTTGTCCTTTTTTTTTTTTTTTTTTTTTTTCAAAGCTTGCCATGTTCATCATGGCAAGTGCTCTGATGAACATTTTTTTCCCCTCCTTGTACCCAACTATATTTTAAGCGTGCTACTAGATTGGCATGTAGGTCCCACCCTTTTACTGCTGAAATAGTTAAATTCTACTCCAACATTTTCTTTTCTGTGAAACTCCCTCGATAATGAGAAACATTTAAATAACTGCCATGTTCTGTTGACTCAAACTATATTTATCTTTTATCCTTTCTTTAATACATACCCAGTCTTTTCTCTCACTTTAACTCTCTCTAACCCCCTGCATATTAGTGGCACTCCTGCCTTGCTTGGGGTGAAATGATTTAAAAAAAGAAAAAAGTTTTAAAGTTTTGTCAACTTCAATGTTAACATGTTTCTAAAAATGCTGATCTTCAGAATGTAAATTCTAATTCTTGTAAAATTATGTTAAAGTAAAAGACAAAAAAATCAGTTCCCCATCCTTCCAGAAGACTGTAAAAGGCACTTCCAAGAAGTTATTTAGAAACAAAAATTCTGAGATGAAATTATGTTGTCTCTAAAGAATGGAACATGGAGGGGAAATAGTAAATATGCGATTGAAGTTAATGTAAAAAAAAAAAAAACCCAAAAAATGATTTTGCTAACCTAATACTTTAAACTGAGAAACAAAGAGTACTGAACTTTTATGTAATATCAGTCCTCTTATATGGCAGTGAATGCTGAAATGTTCTATAGATGGATGCAAAGAATAACATGGCCCAAACATGTGAGCAATGACAGTTTTACAGAAAATGAAAACAAAAAGGACATTTACACTTAATATTAAGAGATAATTGAAATTTCTTGGGCACATAATGAGGAAAGAGGGCTTGGAAAATATGATACTCAGAGGACAGGAAAACGACACATAACTAGAGAGTGAGTAAATGGATGATGGAATAAGGTTTAGGAAAGATAAAAAGACAATTTATCACGACCTACAAAGGATAGGAAATTCTGGAGTCATGTTCACCAACATACTGATGGGAGATGGAAAAAAACTTTAAGGAATCTGATACAGACAAATAATGACTTTGCTGTTAAATCCTTTTTCCTTATATTCAAATAAAATGACTTACTTTTGACCATTCTTTCACAACCCACTGAGAACAGGGTTTCTCAACACATTTAGTTACAGTGGGAAGCCTTGTTTGATTTAGACAAACTGTTGCTGACACTCTTTTAGAAAACGTAGGTGAAATTTTTTCTTGGCATTCAACGTGGCGAGTCTTTTTACCCTCTCCACAAGAAACACTGCAAGGGGACCATTCTGAAGGTGTCCATCTGGAAAATATCCATAGATAATATAATGTAATAATTTCACTTTACAAAAACAAAACAAAAAAAAAATTGAGAGAAAGTAGTTTTTTTTAATAATGGCACCAATGTAATAAAAGGGATTACAAGAAAGAAAGAAAACTTACATGACATGAGACATTACGTACATGAGACATTACGTACATGAGACATTACGTACATGAGACATTACGTACATGAGACATTACGTACATGAGACATTACGTACATGAGACATTACATTACATGAGACATTACGCACATGAGACATTACGCACATGAGACATTACGCATATGAGACATTACGTTACATGAGACATTACGTACATGAGACATTACGTACATGAGACATTACGTACATGAGACATTACGTACATGAGACATTACGTACATGAGACATTACGTACATGAGACATTACGTACATGAGACATTACGTACATGAGACATTACGTACGAGATAAAAAACTAGAAAACAGCTTTTCTAACTTAAACTTCTATTTCTTTCTCACCTGTAAATTGAAATAACATTTGCTAAAATGTGTTCCTGAAATCACACAGCTATTTCAACATCATGCATGCCACTGTATAGTAATGGTGGTATTAGCTATTTCTATACAGGAAACATTCATTCATCAGTGTTATGATGGTTGAAATTTCTTTTAAAACAGTTTTTCATGAAAATTAGCTTCTCAAGTTCAGTAATTGCTATTGCTCTTTCTAGCACTTACCATGAAAATGTTTATGGAAAAGGCACCAGAAGGCTACATTATGGCAGTGAGAAAGTGACTGAAGCCAAGATGCCAGGTCAGGATCAATAATATTACTGGTTCTTCTTTGGATCTTATAAAGAATCTCTTAGATCAGAAAAGCACTGAAGTATATATGGTAGCAATATTCTCAGCCTGGGTGAATGGTAGACTTATAGATATGTAAGAGATTCTGGATAGAAAAATGGTCTAGCAGGACACAGTGAACCAACTTTCTTAACAGCAGACCTAGCAATGGATTCAATATAGTCTTTGCATTTCATGTAAATTGAGAATGTTAGTCAGAGAAGGTACAAGTCACTTTTCTGGAGGTTAGCAATGAGCATGCTGAGTGTAGGTAGGAAAGGGTCTCTCAGATGACTAATAGAGCAGTTTTGTTTTGGAGGCATTAAAATTAAGCTATTCTTTGGCCCCAGTTAACAGACTGTGGGTCATATTTAAGATTGACAACCAATTGAACCAATCAGACTTGCTATTGAGACAGATTTAAGTGGTTGTGTCATCAGCATAGATACCAAGATGAGAACTGATGACGACATAGTCGTTAATGAAAATTAACATAGGACCAAGGATAGAGCCCTATGGGACACCTGCATTAGTACAATAGGATCTCGAATAGTGGGTGTTCAGCACAAGCATTAATACAGAGTTTATGTGAGTATACTTATATTTACGTATACACATTCTGCTTAAATGATATTTAAGTTGTGAAGTTTCTAAAAATCCTATTTACTTTGTGAATTTTTTTATTTTTATCAAACTCCTTAAAGTTAAAATTTGATAACAAATAACCAAGAATAAATAATGTAGATTAAATTTTTGAAAGAATAGCTGTCTGTTCAGATCAACATAGCAAAGGGAGACAATCATTAATCTATGTACAAAATTTTTGCCTGAACTAATTAAGCCATATGTTGCTATAAAAAAAAAAACATGTACACCAAACATGTAAGCTTAAAATGACTAGCTTAAAACTACTCACTGGAAGGAATGCATTTTACATTTTGGTAATCTTTCAAGCAAATATATTTTGTAATAAATACTTTGTGTATATAGCAAGCAAGCCAAAACCACTTGATGAAACCAACTTTTTTTAATTTTGCTTACAGCTTGTTAACTGTTCAAATTTATCTTCAACTAGTTTTTTTTTTTTTTTCTTTTTTATTTATTCAGTTGAGTTAGCTCGGACAATCATGAGTCTCTTACACCAACCATCATGATCCTGTATCAAGGCTGGGAGGTCATTAGGCTGGCATTCTGTGACATAACATAGCAGGGCAATGTAGGTGGTGGTTGAGCAACCAACCCATCTTGCTCCATAACTAGGTGTCCAGAGCAGTAAATCACTTGGGAGTTCTTGATTTGCTCACCAGCAGTATTCTGAAAAGTGCATTCTGTATTCATGTAAGATTGTAGAAATATCAAGGATGGGTCCATAGAGCTGTGATTTAGTTGGATGTTGTCTCTAAGAATCTTGGCATCTGAATGTAGGTTTCATCAAGCTTAGACTTGTTAGGTTACTTCCTCCTGACAGTTTGAAACCACCCCCAGGGGATGCTCCCTGGACTATGAATACTCTGCGATAGTTTTTCTCACTATCGTATCTTATCCACTTCGTCACCAACCTGTAAACCTCTTGCAGAGAATGCATGAACCACAAACGTGTGTTTTTATATATATATATATATATATATATATATATATATATATACACACACACACACACACGTGTACATATGTTTAATAGCAACATATGGCTTAATTATGCACATTCACCCACTTCATATACTTTGAACCCAAAATGTTTTCACATTCTTTTGTTACACGCATCATTGTCTTTGTCACTTGTAACCTCCATTGTTAATACATTATCATTTGTTTGTACATATATATTGCTTCTTGTCATTTATTTACATTTCTTTGTGTGGGCTCGCATCCAGAGTCCACTATTTTTGTTGTGATATTTCAGGAAATGGCATGTTGTTCCCAATTTCAAACACCAACGTTAGTAATGCCTGCAATAGACTCTATAGTTTTAGTTAATGTATGGTGTCACCACTGGGATATTAACACCACCTCTACAGTGGCTTGAAAGAGTCTCCACTTGAGGTGGCCTGGTAGATCAAACTTCCAGATTACATTCATTTTATTTAATATGGCTTTAGCTATGCAAATTTTCATTCTTTTCAGTAGAATTTATTTCACTCCCTAGGCATGTAAAAGATTTGATAGATTTTGATTCCCATGAGATAGTTTGTATTGAGCCTTTCTGGTTGAAGCCTATGAATTTTTGATGAATCTTAATTCTTCAGTTAATGCTAGAATATGCTCATGGCAAATTCTACTACAATAAAATATCAAAAGAAACTCCCCTTTCATCATTAAATATTTGAGCTTAACAACTTTAACAAAATATTGCAATCACAATCATAAATATGAATTATTTTAAAAAGTGAGGTACAAATGAAGACTTGAAATTGACAACTTTTTCATTTCATCTTTCATTTTCTTAATGAAACCATGTAGTGTCTTTTATCTTTTGTCTTCTCATGTGATCAAAACAGAATATTATTATTTATGACGTATTAACAAGAAATGTTAAACACTTTCTTTTTCCTTCACTGAAACCAAGTTGCATCTGATATGTCTTGTCTTCCCATATAATCAAAATGAAATAGTCCATTATTTATAAGGTATTGGCAAGGTGTAATGTTTGTGCAAACTAACAGAAGGAAAAGCACAATTATAAGATCCTAAAAAGGTTATTTTTTCTTTCTCCTAAGATGTTCAACCTCTATTTAGGAATTTTTGTACCCTCAAAATAAATCCTAAAATACTGAACACCCACAATCTTTACCTTGACAACAGGATTTTTCAGGTTTTATAATTCCAAATACCAACTTATATACTATGTATGGTTGCAAGAGTACTGAATGCCAACAAAGTATTGCTGGGGAGAAAGAAAGAAAATGAGACAAGATATATTAAAATAAAATTCTGTATTGTCGGTATAATTGATCAAAGCAAAATCTCTCTTGTGGGCAAGGGAAATAACCTGGGAGATTTGTTTGCATACAGGTCTGGAATTGACGCTTGTATTGGGTTGGGAGGCTACTGGTGAACTGCCTGTGTACTGGTTTGTTTTCACTGAGCAGATCTCCTTTTTAAGCAGTCAGGGCGGATAAATGACAGTGTGTTGGCTTTTTTTTTTTTTTTTTTTTGCTCTAATGGGAATGCGAGTGATTGGCTCTGACATTTTAAATTTTATTTTATACTTTTTTGGTGATTTGTTTTGAGCTGGCTGCAATGTTCAGAATCCCTGTGCAGGAAGCGCCTTTTTCTTCATGTTTTAATTTTATTTTTGTTGTGTTGACATCTGGTAGATAAGTTTTTATGTAGCTTTCCTGTGTCTTTTCTATAAATACTTTAATGTTAATTGTTCTGATGAACTTCCCCCTATGGTACCTAGACTTTATGAATTTAAGTGCAGTACAGTTGAAATGTCCAGATGTAACTAATTTCTATGCTAACAGTTTCTTCAATCTCACTTTTTGCTTGTGGAACTCTCTTCTGGCTTCTTGTTTGCCAGTCAAGATCAATCTTCAAAAATGTAAATGCAATGTCAATCATTATCTTTCTCTGTCTTAATTCTTATATTGTCCTCTCTCCTTAATAGTAGTTTTTCTCATATTCTATAACACTCAGTAACCTCTTGAATCCTAGTGGCTTTATTGCTTTGCTTGGGGTGAAATGATTAAAAAATAAAATACCACAGTGGGAACATCCTTTTTCCACATCTGCTACATGAGAGAGGGAAATCTTTTTTTATAGATCTAAATCAGTGCCACCTAATGGGTATTTAAGAATCCAATAAAGTTTCTAGTTCATTTATTACTAGCATCATGGGAAAATGTATTTCTTTTTATTCAATATTTCATGTACTGATTTTATTTCATTTTCTCAGATTTTGTGCAAGGCATCCATTTAACTAGGAAAGTAGAAAATGAGAAGAAAAAATATCTATATTTACCATTTTGTAGAAATATATTTTAATTTCCCTTAAGATACCATCTTTCCTAGTGTATAACACATCTTTATAATTTGGTAGAAAAAAATATATATATATATATATATATATATATATATATATATATATATAACTATTAAAGTATAGATTCCTCCAAATTTGTTTTCATATTTTAATATAATTTTTAATTTGTAATCATAGTTTAACCATTTATAATCACACATTTCATCCTGGGGTCATCAGGGACAAGGTAACACTACCATAATCGTATAAGACACTGGGTGATTTTAAAGAAATTTTTTTTTTTAAGGTGTAGTTAAAACATTTTACAGACTTTCAACACTTCAATATCTCTCTATATAAATTTCTGTTCTATTTTGACTTTGTCTCTCTTTATCCCTACATCTGTGATCTGGTTTATTCTTTGTCTCTCTTTATCCCTACATCTGTGATCTGGTTTATTCTTTGTCTCTCTTTATCCCTACATCTGTGATCTGGTTTTTATTCTTTTCTCTCTTTGATCTGGTTTATTCTTTGTCTCTTTATCCCTACATCTGTGATCTGGTTTATTCTTTGTCTCTCTTTATCCCTACATCTGTGATCTGGTTTATTCTTTGTCTCTCTTTATCCCTACATCTGTGATCTGGTTTATTCTTTGTCTCTCTTTATCCCTACATCTGTGATCTGGTTTATTCTTTGTCTCTCTTTATCCCTACATCTGGTTGATCTTGGTTTATCCCTTTGTGATCTGGTTTCTCTTTTATCTCTTTATCCCTACATCTGTGATCTGGTTTATTTTTTCTCCCTTCTACATTGAGTAGTATATACATCAGTTCATTTGCAACAAGGCCATCAGTATCTTTCATAACTAGGTTTGCATACACTGCTACAAGGGCAACTCATGAGAGCCTCCTTCTAGTACAATGGGTAGGTGCTGTCCCACAGCTCGAATCATCAGAGACGAGATATATCTACAATTTTGTGCTCAGTTTTGCCTGGAGAAAGAAACAAGGCTGATTATGGCTCTTCAGTACTAGAATTGGAATAGATTAACTAAATCTAGATCTTGTCATTCAGGTTAGGTCAAAAAAGGTTGAGTGAAGGTAATTCATATAGATATATTTAAATCAATGGCATGCAAAAAAGAAAATATGTGTTCTGCACTTGATATAAACTTATATTTGATCAATTAAATTTTCAGTTGCAGTATAACGTCTTTCTCTCTAGTTTACAGGCTTTCGATAATTATGATCCAAACCTTTTAGAATTGTTACAATGAACCACAAGGCAATTTGTACCCTCTTTTTATGAATCCATTTAATAACTTAACATTTTTGTAATTCAGTGACAATACTGGAATTAATTTTACCAGAATTAATCACTGAAAACCTGAACATAGCTACAATGAAAGAAAGCAGCAGCAGTATTCTACAATTTATCATGTAAAGAATATTGCTGACAATGATTTCAGGTTTCAATATCTCTAGACTATTTTATATATTTATATTTTATATACTTTGTGTATTAAAAAACTGATACATTCATAAAAATAAAAAAAATTTAAGTATCACTAATAAAAGGATGTATTTCCTCAAAATGTACTAGCTCATCAAAAAGTAATCTCTAAATATGTGCCCACCTCCCAGTAGGGAAAATACATGTTTTTAAATTGAAATAATCACCCCTTTTCAAATGTGTATAAGATTTGGTTATATCAACTTACAGAAATGGAAAAAATTCAAGTAAACTGTTTAATTTTGGATTGATTATTTAAAGAATACGCTTAGAGTATATAGCAGAAACTGGTTGCATTTTCATTTCATTTTGTCTGCTTTTTTCAACTGAAAATATTAATACATTGACAAATTTGCGATTATAGTCATTTCAAACTTCATGATCTTGTCACTGGCTGCATAGGATGTTTTACACCCAGGTCACATATGATTTTGAATTCAGTCGTCTTTCTCATAAACTGCTTGCCAACCATAGATAATGTCCCTAATCTGTTCCGTTATTTAACTTATAGCTGGGGTGAGAACAGATTCACACATCTTTACCAAGAGTATTTGTGTAAAATTGAATGTAATGAACTGAGCTAGGTGATTTCTCATTCCATAATGCTAAACATTACACCACCTGAACACCCAATTGATATTGATCCCAATTTTTTTTTTAATTTTTTTTTATTTTTTTTTTTTATTTTTTTTTTAAACTCCTTCAATATTTCAGCTGTTTGTTTGCTCTTTAAGGACTCTGTACCATACAGGTCATACTCCTAATTTCATATCAGAGTTTTTGCCTGGAGGGTAGTCATTCAAACCATTTTCATTGTCATTAAGAAAGTGGCACAATGCCGATAGGTCTATTGGAAACCTGATCAACTAATGAATAATTTCCATATCAGATTTGAAGGACTCAAATGTCTTTGTGACAAATCTTTTGTTTTTGTTGGAAAATGTATTGTTTTCATTTTATAGTTTATAAGTGTCCTAACTGCTTCTCATCTAAGTTATTGTGCCTGTGTATATAAATAAAATGATAGACTCTTTAAGAATGGATTTAATAAAGGTTGGTGATGTAATATAGTGTAGACACTAGTCCCATTTCAGTTGTTTTATTCTATAGCTTTCTTCAGGGAGTTTCTGGGTAACCTTTTGGGAACTTTAAAATTTACAAACTACATCTGATGAATGCCAGGGAGCATAATGGCTGAAAACAAAACTTCAGATATAGATACAAAACTGTTGGATGTTACCTGGCCTGGCAAGGTTTGGTGTTACAAGCTGTTGTCTGGGTGGGTAATTTCTCGTCTGGGTCACAATTATCATCAGTTACCACAACTTGTGAATTCATCTTCACACATAAAATTCTTGTCTCTTGAGTTCCTGCAATTTAAAAAAAGAAATCCATTTTGAAATAAAACAAATAACTGGTATATATTTATGTAACTTAATAACAAATACCAGAATTATGACAGTGCATCAATAAGTGTTGCCTCAAACATAATTAGCTGAATTTTAATCTGAAAATTTCATTGTATAATGTTGAATCTGTGTGATTAATATTCACTGATGATTGACAAGTAAGGAGATCAAAAACTATATATTTGTAAAATAAATACTCCCTACTCATGTTATCAGGCTAGTAAATTATTAATTTACTTATATAGGTGATAATGTTGCTAGAGAACATTAATTACACAACTAGTAATGCTTAAAAAAAAAAAACCCAAAAAAACATAACATTACTAGAATTTAATGCGTTTAAAGTTGAGCAAATTTTTGTAAAGAAAGTGCTCAATAAGAAAAACTGAGCAAAAATAACATTTAAAGGACTTATTTTTGCCACCAGCTTGTGTGTGTATATATATATATATGTACCCATACATGTGACTATAGAAACATAATATTAAAAATAATGAGTAGATTAAAATTGAAGTAATTTTTCTATACCTAATTATTCTAAATGACTTGATCAGTTCTTGTATGATCTTTGAAGTTAAGCAATATCCAGTCTGGTTAGTGCTTAGATGAATGACTACTTGGGGAATACCAGTGCTGTAAATTTGGATATGCAGCCGGTGTAATGGCTTTAAATTGGAGAGCAGAGTTCCAATTCCAGTCAGGTTCATTATATTTACTTAGGAAAGGTATGAATCCATTTGTTCTCCCCTCAGCTAGGGGTTAATTAGTAGAACTTGAATCTGTAAATCATGTCAAATTTATATAGTGTAAAAATATTTTCTAGCTTTAAATAACTGCAAAATGTTGATAAACTGTAAAAAAAAAAAAAAATCTAAGTGGCTTGATAAAGTAAATTTATGAAGGATGCTCTGAAATTAATGCTCCTTGCTTTTTCTATAGAAATGACAGGAAATTTGAAGTTTATTTCTCCAGTCACCATTTATGAACAAAAGCTTGTGCCATTTACGCTATTTGGACTGTTATCCTCTTCTTCATTGCCATATTCACGTTTTGGCCGTTGGATGCTTCCCAAAGAAGGCTGGAATGTACAACAACTGAAACATTGTGAATATGGTAATGAAGATGAGGATAACAGTTCGAATAATGTAAATAATCATAATACCTCATCTCAGAGATATAGACAGATACTTGTGACATGTTTTTAAAAAAAAAAAAAAAAAAAAAAAATCTATGGTGATTTGACATTGTCACTGATGAAACTCATTACCCACTGCCTAACTGTACTCTCATCTGTTTGGTTTCTGTGTATGTTTATGAATAAGTGCAAATTTTTTTGTTTTGTTTATGAAGAAATTCCTTCTTTGCATGCACTGCCATGTCAAATACAACAAAAATGTTAGGTTATTAGTGGGAATGTTTAACCTCTGCTGCCAATATCATCACCAAACATAATAAAAGTTGGAAGCATTATTTTCAGAGCAACTCTCATAAGAAATATAAATAAAATCATTAAAAACACCTTCTGATCAAATAATTGAACAATGAAAATTTAACTTTTCTATTACTTTTTTAGTACCTGTCACTTTGCTGAGGATAAGATAATCAAATTTCAAATCTAAATTGTTTATCCATTTAAAATACTACATTAATTAGAAAATATATTCAGTTTAAATAAATAAAAATAATTTCAAAGGGCCACACATTTCTGCTTATACTCTTTTCCTATTACTCAGGGTTTATTGTCAGACAGGGAAATTGTATCTTGTGATACAGATGCAAATTTTATTAAAATTGCATCTGTGTGCATATATATATTAATTTAAGGACAATTGAAAATATTTTAAAAAATAATTCTATTTATTACCAAATAATATCTGAAAAGTAAAAAAAAAATCTTGTTTTGCCTTTCTTGCCTCCAACTTTGATTATATTGTTCAGGGTAGGTGTTGTCCAGACTGAGATGGAGAGGGATATATTATTTCAATGTCTTATTTCAAATTTAGTCAAATTGTACCTGTGCTATATCATGCACACACGTCACTTACAATATAATGAAGACATACATTACATATGAGTTCTACAGAAGGATACTGAGAATACCATGGACTAAACATTAGCAACAAAGTTTTAGAGACAATGGAAACAAAAATGATACTTATGCTTAACATCAGAAAGAAATAGTTGACATTTCTAGGGTACATAATGAGTTAAGAGGGCTTGGAAAATTTGATACTCACAAGGGGAAAACAATGCATATTGAGCTTGGGTAAATGGATGGTGGAACAAAGTTTAGGAGAGGTAAAAAAAAAAAAAAAGACAGTTTATTAATAGCTCCAAACAACAGGAAATTATGGAGAGCCATAATTGCTAATGTCCTGAAGGGACATGGCACATAGAAAAAATAAGATATGCATACAAAGTCACATACAGTATGTGATGGACAGAGAATCAGCTCCTTTTTATAGTATAGATTGTCAGTAACAAAATCTAATTAGTTTACAAATGTAATGATTATTATTGTTAATAATTTGCTTTTTGAGTAAATGTGAACTTTTCCTTGTAATGATAGAAAATTTTCATTACTAAATTTTAATTTGGTATAGGATACATAAGATAAATTACCAAAACTGGAATAAAAATGAAGAAAATTAAAATTATACTTAACATTCTCAACAATTATTATTACTAAAATCTGATATATAATGTGAAAAAAAAATGTTGATTTTCTGAGTGTGCATGAGGCACCCAGTGAGGATCGAACCCACTATTCAGTTGTAACTGATCTATCAAGACAAGGTTGCTAACCATTACACCATATTGAAGTTCCAAAATGTATGCATAGGATAACGGTTATAGAAGCTGAAAGTGGAACTGGCATGTCTAATTCAAATTTTGGCATAGCCTGTTGCATTCACTTTCAGGGGAAAAAAAAAATCCCTTGGCATGAGTCTCTCTCTTCTCCCCCTATATTGATTGGCTATGGGTTAAATAGTAGGTTAGCCTTGGGTGGCAACCAATCTAATAGAAGGAAAGCTAAATTCCAAATTGTGAAGGTAATGGGTCGGGGAGAACTACTTGACTATGTCCTCCAAGATAGGATGGTATTTGATAAAGGCAAATCTGGAATATATATATATATATATATATATATATATATATATATATGTGTGTGTGTGCGTACACACACAAAATATTGAACACTTTATTAGGTAATGAAGTTATAAAGCAGAAAATGATTATGCTAAAGAAGTCTTTAAAAAAAATTAATAAAACATAACTGACATTACCATCATAATAGTTTTCTTTCAGTTTTGGCAATGAATTATTGTGGAATATTCTGGCTTAAACCCATGAAAAGATTGATGTCAAATAAACCTAGATTTTGTTTTAGGTGAACTGTCAAGACCTTTTATCAAAATAAACTAATTATAATAACATCAATAAATCTTGAAGCAAACTCTCATTGATTCCTGCCTGAGAATTGTCTAAGCAATTAAAATCTTATTGCTACTTTTAATTTTATGTCTCTACATTCATTGTCACTAGCAAGCACACACTATAGAAACAATGGACTTCAATGTTGTGTGTCTATAAGCAATTGTTAGAAATTTCTAACTTGAATGAGTTTTAGAAAGTAAAAGCATATCAATAGTAGATTTCTTTCACTATAGACCTTAGAAAACTGAAATGGTTTAAGAAAATTATAATCTATTCCGAGAATGATGATCATTTTTCTTTTTTAATTACCATATTAACTTAGAATTTTAGTAAAGGAAGATACAGTAATTGGTCTGCTTTGAATTTTGGCATCTCTTAAGTACATATAAATACTTAGCTACAGTATGTGTTGAATTGATTTGGATTAAGTTAAGTGTTTTTTTGTCATTATTTAGTGCCAACAAATCTATAAAACCATGTTTGAATATTTGAAAAATATTCAGTTTACATTGTCTTTTTATTTCAATTATAATCTTTGACTTTGTTTCTATTTACCAATTTTGTCTGTCCTGGGTATGATGATAAACTACATCCAACAGCAAGGCCTCTGATCAGGAGGTTTTGAGGAGCATGGAACCACCTCTTAATTGTTGGTGTTCCCAGGTCTAACCTGACCCGGGGTGGTAGCACCTGTTAGGGTCCCAGCTATAGGCAAATAGTTAACCCCAAAACTGAGGTAAAAAGCATTATGAAAGTGTAAAAATAGGTTTTAATACCAGAAATACTTTGTAAAAAAAAAAAAAAAAAAAAATTATTATTACCAGAAATAAATATTTGAAGAAAAAAAACTATTACCAGCAATACATTTTTTAAAATATTACCAACTATACATAATAAAAATATTACCAGAAATAGATATTTGACAAAACAAAAATATTACCTGTAAAAAAAACAAACAAAAAAAAACAAGTTGTTTGCATTAAATAACCCATTGAGGTTGATATGCTGTAAACCTATTTACCAATTTTGCAAATAGCCTTCTACTTTGAGAAAAGATGCAGCATTATTAACTGTAAAAAAAAAAAAAAAAAAAAAAATTTTTGTTCATTTGCTAACCCTCAACCTTAAGTAGCCCTCAGACCCTTGTAAAAGGTGAACCTTACTGTAACCATCCCTCTAAAAAAAAAAAAAACAAACTTTTATCCAAAAGTTTCTCTCTTTTTATTTAACACCTGTCTTGTGATAATTACTCTTGATAATCCCTAACAGATTTTTTTATGTGCTCTCTGCACATAAGGTGTAACTTTTAATGGTACAGGGCTTTTGTAAGAAGTTCATGCCAGAACCACTGACTAATGGGCAAACAGTAAAAATCCCAGAAGTTTCAATATGCTTGCATTTTCAGTTTAAGTATCACTTTGTGGAAAAGTGCTATAAAAATGGTCAGTTCAAAAATCAACTTTGAATTTTTGGTGAAATTCAAAACATTGAGGACTTCTATATATTGTGACAATTTTAGACTT